GTGGGAGATCATTTTTTTCTAGAGAAGTCTCAAGTGTAGCTGGCTTTTCAGTCTTTTGGGCCTGTCACCTGTTTGCTCATTGGTCTCCTACATTCCATTGTTTAAATATCAAGACCCTGTCTCATGTGTGACTTTGGATGAACCATGACCAGTCTCTCCAGAGGCCCCTTATGTGGTTGAGCATTGGCACATGAGCAGAGCTGAGAAGAAAGGTTTTTGGTCCAGTAGCTAGAAAACTTGCCTGGCTGTCATCAACTGATGTGCTTGAAGAGGCGCTCTTCAGCTCACTTCCAGGTAGAATACTGATGCCTTGCTCTCCTCCTGAGGCTGAACTAATGCTTTGGGGGAAACATGCACACACACACACACACACACACACACACACTTCACAAACTGTAAAGTAACATAAAGGGGTATTGTGATAAAGTAAGTTCTTTATAAGATACACAGACTGACCAAGAATATTTCCTGCAATGCTACGTAGGGAAAAGGCTGGGTTGATCAGGGTTGGAATTATTTTCAGGGAGATTTTGAAGAATATGTACCATTTCTAGAAGTGAATGTTGGGGATCAGTATTTTACAGTGAGAGTGTGAAGTGTATTCAGGGAAGAAATGGGACTTATCATTTATTGAGCATTTACTGTGTGCCTGGCTGGGCTTGAGCTGTGTGTGTACATGCACGTAGTACTATCTAATGTAATCATTAGTTTTTCACTTTTCAGATAGCAGTTGTAAAGCCTACTCATAAAGTGTGAGGGTTGAAAATTCTATTTGTATACTTAGAGTTAGACTGTTTATATTGAGGTTTCTCCAGCACTGCAAGTCAGATCTCCCCAGCCCGCCCATAGCCTGTTCTTCCTGGACTGTAACATTTGGTGGGAGTGTATCCCTCTGTGGAGGGAGCGAAGAGGAGGCTGTTAATGGTTATATTTAGACACACCTGTCTGGATTTCTCAGCTCGTTTTCCCCCCTTAGAATGTTGCCTTCTTTTAATCCACCTGCATTCACTGGAGGTTAATCTTCCTATCACTTCGCTTTGGTGGTGGTACATCTACACTAAAAAACTCCCCAGGATCTATTTCCACCCCTTAATGTTTACTGAGATTCATTTGGGTCAATCCTAGTGCTAAATTCTCATTCTCGTTTAAAGCCTCATGACACCCCTCAAGGGTAGGCATTGTTTTTAGCCCCCTTTTGCAGATAATGGAAACAGAGACTTGGAGAGATGACACAACTCCCCCAAAGTCTGACAGCTACCAAGCAGAGGAGGCTGCACTCCAGGCCTCACCCCTGACCTCTGACCCAGTGTGCTTCTGAGTCGGGCATTCAGGGCCTTCCAAAGTTGGAGCCAGGCTCTTTTCTAATCTTCTGTGCTTTGCACTTGAACCACTGTGACTTACAGGATACTAAGAAGAGTGAGAGCATGGTATTTGAAGTGAATCTGGGTTTAGTTATTGCCTTGGTGGTACCACTGAAGGTAATGCAACGCTTCTGAACTTCCATTTCCTCTTGGAAAGAGTTGAAAATAGATATCTAGGCGGTGAAAGTCCGATGAAGAATTGGACATGCACTTCTGGTACATCTGGTGGTGCTTTAAAAAAATGAGAGACTGAAGGGAATGAGACTGTTGTCATGTTTTTGTTACTTTTAAAGTAGGGGAGATCCTACTTCTAGGTGAAAGGAAGGGAGGCACCAAAGGGCAAGGATGGAAGAGATGAATGGGGAGGAGGCAGCGGGGAGGTCCTTTTTGATTTAAAATAATGAGGGCCTTTTACAGGCACATGACCCAATTAAAGATTGAAAGATAATGAAGTCATTAAAAAAAAAAGGAAAAAACTTGAGTCATAAGTTGACTATGTCTTTTTTAAAAGAAGCATTAAAAATGTCTAAATAATTGCTGTAAACAGCTAATTGTTGAGATTAATTATATCCGGACTCTGTACTAAGGGCTTTACATTTAATCTGCACAATATTCCAATGAGGTCAATACTTTTACTGTTCCATTTTTTAGAGAGAGGATTGAGGTATGGAGAAATTAAGTCACTTTCTGGGGTTACATGGTAAGTGGAGGAGCCAGGGTGTGAACAGAGGCAATTTCACTTGGAAGCCTGCATTCTTAGTCACTATGTTATAGTGCTTCCCAGTTTGATTTCCTCAATTAACATTTGACTTCTAGCCCAAGTAATATTTTTGTCTGTTTTGTGTTGGGGAAGGAAGACTGTATCTAAGGGATGCATTTCCAAAGAGGGTTCATGCATTAGACAAAGACCATGTTTGGAGGAAAGGCTTTTAAAAAAGAGTTACGTCATGTCCCTGCCTGGCTGGAGGAGAGCAGTCTTCTAGACACAGCTGTCCTAGCAGATGTTGCACCTGCAGACCCTGGTAGATAGAAGAGCAAAGAAAGTGACTTCCAGGACCATGCAGGTTATTCAATATAGTGTGAAAAAGCAAAAGCACATGCCACTTCCCATTGCCTGAAAATAGCATGTGTCAGCAGCTCTCTTCCAAGATGTAGAAACCAACCTGTAGCAGCTGCTCTCTGTGGAGGTATTAAGTGTTGTGAAGACACCTGTGTGTGTCTCATTCCAGCCCAGGCAAGTCTCCTTCCAGCTCATCAAGGTGGGGACAGAATTGACCTAAATGGAGATTACTGTTTTCCAGTAGAGTGATTTGTCTGTCATTTCCTGCAGAGATCCCTCCCCCAATACCCTTTTTTGTATTGAGATATAATTTATGTACAGTAAAATGTATGCATATTAAGTGTTGCATTTGATGAATTTGACAATTTTTATGCCCATGCAACCAGCAGCCAAAACAAGAAAATCCCTTTACATTTCTTTCCAGTCAGTTGCCCCTGCTGTCCAGAGGTACCCACTTTCTGACTTCAGTCCCCATAGATTAGTACTGTAGTCTTGCCTGTTCTTGTATTTTATATAAATTAAATCCTGCAGAGATCCTCTGTTGTGTCTGATTGCAGTGTGGTCTATTCCTACAGCAGAACACTACTCAGCAATAAAAAGGAAAGAGCAGTGACACACAGACACACAGCAGCTTGGGGGAACCTCCTTGAGCATTGTGCTTGGCAGTTGGCAGGAGTCGTGGGCTTCATGTTACCTTTGTATTCTTCGTCACCAAAATGACCCACACAGTCGGCTTCTTCTACTTGTCTGTCATAGGGTGCAGGGTGCAATTGCTGACTTCACTTTTCCCTCCTTCCAATCTCTTATAATGAAATATACCATGTTTTTAGAATATGGCCGATTTATACTCAACGGGCTATCATGATAATGATTTTTTTAAAGGAATTTAAAATTATGTAGTGATTTTTTTTAAAAAAGGAAATATGTTAGACACATTATATGTTATCTTTTTTAGTAATTTTCAAAGATCAGAAGGAGTCAAAGAAGCAAGACAGCAGACCCAGCCTCTCCCCGGGTGGCTGTCCAGTGGGCCCTGGATGTTCATTTCACGGCTACTTTATGCTGCATTGCTGTGCACTTTTCATTGTCATGAGAGAGAATGTTAGCAAAACTATCCCCACAAGAAAACAGCTTTTCTTGGCAAGTGAAATGTGACTTAAGGAGCCAGAACTGGAGACATACGGTACTATGAATGAGAGCTGTGTTACTTTATTGGATCTGAGTCCAGGCACTATTTATACTGCAGCATATTCAGCACCAGATTGTTAAATCTTAATACTGAAACAGTGCATCATTTTAATATTTTTGTTCTGTTTATTCCCTGTTTTCAAGCATTATGTCAAGCATTGCGCATTCATTTATTTCATCTTGGACAGGACGTGCCCTGACCAGAAAGTTCATTTCCTATTATTGGAATTTTACTCGATAGCTATAAAGCATTATTTTGTGAAGCTTTTAGAAGTTCACTTGGGTATACAGGTGTTCTCTCTCTTTGACAATAAAAAATATTTTGAAAAAACAGTGTAGTTGGACTCACCTGTATTGTCAAAAAAAGATTCTGTTCCTTTTCTTTCACTAAAACAGCTGTTTCTTATGTGTGACAATTTCTGACATCTTGGGGACCGTTGGGTTTTTCATTGCATACAAATAAAATTTTTGTTACACTGTGTTTTCGAATGGGTTTTTCTTTATTTTTCTTCATCAACGTTACATGTGCCCTTATGCACCAGATAAGGTGGGTCCATCTTATGAATAAGTTAGCATTTTCATCATGTTTTGCTGAAGCTGTCCCACGAATCTTCTTGTCACAAGGGTATTCCTAAAGTCACTGCTCTACGTAGCCCAAGTTTGACCAGGATTTTTATTCTCTCTCCATTGTCATGCATGTTTACCATATGCAGCAGGAAACCCACAGAGAAATGGTACCATTGTCACTCTAAAAAGAGCAGAGGAATAAAATTTTAAAAAAAAGGAAGTTGAAGGCATCTCTGCTATTTCTGATCTGTGGTCAGTCATTGTGCTATTGGAAAATAACCCCTCTGCCTGGTGAAACACGAATCTGGAAGTGAACTCGAACTGCTTCATCAGCTCCAAATGCTGTTTGCACTGGGGATCACACCACAGTCAGGATGTGACTGTGTGTGTGCTGAGCCCACACACAGGAATTTTCTTGTACAATTCAAAACCAAATCTTATATTTACTTAAGGCTTGCTTTTTTTTTTTTTTTTGTTCTATGAAATCAGCAGTCCGGTATATTTAGCATCAGTCTTAAGTTAGAATGTGAAACAAGACTTTGGGGGAAGGAAGTATCCGTATGGTTTTCTAAGTAATTTAAGAAACAGGAAAACATAAAAGAACTGATTGTCCGTGATTAAACCTCATCCTTTCATTCCCATCTTCCTGTATAGTTAACTCAACTGTCAGCCAGAAAGAAATAGGTTATTGCACCGGGTTGTAAAATATCTCTGAATGGGCCTTGAATGTTGACTATGGAATGACCTTCTGAACACTGAACAAACAATGAGAAGGTTTAATAAATAGCAGAAATGTGTTTACTGTGTTTTTCTTCTCTTTGCAGGAATAATCAAGCTGGGGAGGTGGAACCCTCTGCCCCTCAGCTACGTGACAGATGCACCCGACGCCACGGTGGCCGACATGCTCCAGGATGTCTATCATGTCGTGACGTTGAAAATCCAATTACAAAGGTGGGTGTCTCTGAACATCTGCCCTTCCTTACTCGAGGAGCTGCTCCATGGGTCAGAGTCGCTGCTGACATTAGAACGTCCTGTCTTTGTTAATTTCTAGACATGGATGAAATGAAAAAAAAATTAGAAAGGGAGAGAGAGCAGGGAAGGAGGGACACTTCACCAGGCATCTTTATAGTCCACATTCCAACTGTTTTATGTTTTGTTTTCAGAAGCAGTGAAGTGGTAACCTAGGGGAAGCTTGATAAATCATTAAAAATCTGTGGCCCTTAAAGGGGAACTTTCCACAGCCCCTAATTTGATGGGTTCTCTGTTTAAATGCTTAGCATATACTATTTGAAGAATAAGCACTTCTGCTGTTTTCAGGTTTGTGTTTTGAGGGCTGAGTTCTGTCCCCATGTAGCAGGCTTATCAGGAAGGTGCTGGCACTGGGGATCTTTTTCTTCCCTTCCTGGTGGCCGCCTTAAAGAAGCACACTCTGTGGCCTGCAGAGGTTCTGGAAATGATTTTTTTCAGGTACAGCATCCAGAACAAATTATGCCTCTAAAGCATCTAGTTCTCTGCAGCGTCTTGTATTGGAAAGTGCCTATAAGTCATAGGATTTAAGAAATGTTGTCCTTTAGTGTAAGGGTTTTGAATTTGCTCATTTTAGAGTATTTGTTCTTTAGTAGGGCCCCAACATCCCCATCCTTGTCCAGGAAGGCTTTAGTGTCCTCTCTTATTTTTGGTTAGGAAAACAACATCTCTGAATTGTTCTAGGAGAGTGAGGAGTGGACCTTCACGCTTTGAATTTGATGGACTGTTTGTCTACATTTAACCTTAGGGATGTCCAATAATTAAACTTGTATTGTGGAAGTTTACAATCATATTGCCATGCCATTTTCATCAACAAACTGGAAAAACCACATTTTAAAATATTAGCAATTCTTCATATCTGAAGTGACTATTTTTCTTAGGCAAGTATGAAAACAAACTTAAAGAAGCCGAATTGGGCTCGGTCCAAGTCCTGGGGAAGCAGTTTTTCTCCCTTACCCTCATTCAGGGCCCACATTAGACCCTGAGCTTTAACAGTTTTCCCCCTGCTGGCAGAGGACCCGGGAGTGACTGTCACACTCTGTACCCTCTGCAGCCAGGGCCCTCCGTTAAGGTTTGTGTGTTGTTCATTCTTGCTCTGTTTCCCAGTTGTTCAAAGTTGGAAGACTTGCCTGCGGAGCAGTGGAACCATGCCACAGTCCGCAATGCCTTAAAGGAACTGCTCAAAGAGATGAACCAGAGCACATTAGCCAAAGAATGCCCTCTCTCCCAGGTCAGTATATCCAGGTGGGGTTCTGGGGAACCTAGAAAGGCACCGGTGGACTATGTAATAGGAGGGGCCTACACTTTAGGTGGAAAAAATATGGAGGTTTGGTGCTCTTTGTTTTGGAGTAGAAGTTATCACTTACCAAGAGCTTTGATGTAATGGGCAGGTATTAAAACATTTCACATTTGCAATCTTTAACTATGTTAATAACATAATATTTCTCATGTATATCACAGGAGGTAGGTACCAGTGTCTCCATTTTATAGATCAAGAAATCAAGACTCAGAAGCACTTTACCTTCCTAAGCTTACTCAGTAGGCTCAGTGGCAAGTTGAGATCCTAATCCAGATCTCGCCTGCAAAGTCTCAGGCTCCAGACCATTCCTTTACTTAGTCAGTGGAATGAGTCAACCATGTCAGACCCATCTTAATTATTTTTTATTTATTTATTGAGCATTTCCCTTGGCTAGCAAAGAGAGATGATCTTTACATCATACACATTTGTATAAATTTTGCAGTGTATTTGCCATGTGAAAATGCATCATGAGAAAAAGTGATACTCCATTTTTAGTGAACTGATGAGAAACTAAAGCCACAAAAATAAGAGGTAGACAGGATCAAAGGAAGGAACAGAGTAGGAAAGGGCTGCCTTTTCCATTTGTGCTCATGGGCGAGGGACCCACTTTTTCTAATGATGAGGTAATATTTTGGTGGCTAGGGTCAGTGGCTTAGGACTGCTATGACATGAACTCAAGTTGACATTGTTTAAAACTATGAATGGAAATCCATTTCCTGTGTGAGTTGCTACACTTGATTTAAGACAATGGACTAATTACATGTCTGTCAAGTTCAAGGGAAGGTGACAAGAACCATAGAAACTTGATGTGCCCTGAGCTGTGTTCTAGGATAATAGAGTCTTTGGGGGAAGCAGGAAGCCTGGTGGTTAAGAGCATGCATTCTGGAATCAGTTAGATCTGGATTCATGTCCTGGCTTACAGGCCTCTATGACCTCACTTCTATGAGCCTACTTCTTTGTCAGTAAAACCAGGATAGTAATAGTTCTAAGTCATACAATGAGGAGTAAATGAGATAAATCACATAAATTCTTGGCCTGGTGCCTGGCATACAATGATGCTCCATTAATAGTATCAGCTATTAATATTGAGACACGATATTGTTGGTGTGAACTGAATATTTTTTATGTGTGTCGTGGAGCATGTTTTGGACTTTAAGTCCCGTGAGATAAAGCATGCTATTAATATTTTTGCTTCCAAATACTCAAGAAGGCATGCACCTGAGTAGTAGGTAGCTAGATAGAAAGGAACACTGGTATCTCTTGACCATCGGTTGTGTTCCTGCTCTTGAGCTTACCGCTTTCACACAGGCCATTTCAGTACCTACATGTAGGTGAGTATGTAGGTGCCAACACTTGTTGCTAGGATTTTGATTTCTTCCAATGTGATTGCTTATGAAGTTATAAAAATAAGAATTTCAAGTTAATTCTGATTATATACAGAGATTGATAAAGAACAGTTTAGGGAAAAAAATTCAATCATTTGCCCTGAATTTCACAGTCACGATTAATTGTCTCTTGAATTTATGTGGAAATCAAAATGGGCTTCGCTTGGAAGTGGACAAGGTCCTAACTGAATATCACCAATTCAGAATTGTATCCAGGGCTATTACAGCCGATGGAAATTTGGTCACAACTGATCTATCATGATGATCAAGTTTAGTTATAACTGTAAAATGTGACTAGAGAGACGGCATGAGTGGAAAGAACCCAGATCAGGAGCTGAGCACCCTGGCTGCCATCTCCCTTCTTTTTTGCTGGATGTGTGATGCTGGGCAAGCCCGTCTACTTCTGGAGCCTTATTGATTTCCTCTGGAAACTGGGCATGACTGTATCCATACATATTTCATATAATTTGCAGGGTTGTCTTGAGGTTTGAATGGGATCACCTTTACCCCTACTATAAAAACCTCTTTCTCCCCCCATTTTGTATTCTCATTACTTGCCCCCCCACCCCTCGGCTGCCCAACCTAAAAAAGTTTCTTCTCCGTCACTCTCAAGTTTGATCCTGTGGATTCTGCTGCCTTCGTATCTGAAATCTTCCTCCTTCCTGCCCTTGCCCTGTTTAGACTTAACTGCCTCATAACTTTAACCTTTCTCCTGTCTCTTGCTTTCCCAGCACCAAGATCTTGCCATTTCCTCCTCTCCCAGCCTCCAGTGACTGCTCCTGCCCAGCCTGAAGGAGGTGCAGACTGTGTAACATGGCCTGTAAGAATTGTTAAGATGATACTGTCCAGCCTGGTTTCTCACCAGAGCTGCCTTTTTCCTTTTACCTGCATCCTCTTTGTGCTCCAAACACATGGAGTTAATTATTTTGGAACATTTGCCATTGCTCAAATGTCACCAAAATATTCCTGAGGGTGAGAGCAACCTAACTAGTACCCTTAGCATTGCAAGTCTAACAATGCAACTTCTTGTGTTATTTTAAAAAATCATGCAAAATTTATATTCTACTCCATATACCTGGTTTTCGATATTTTTAAAATGCCATAAAAATCACTTTACCTGTGAAATTCGCCTTCTGTCCACGTGAGATTGGCCTTCCAGGGAGACACACTATGTTAATCTCTGGCTTTGGTAGCCCCGCATACAATGCTGGTGACTCTTGCTTTTGCATATGCGATTTCTCCCGGCTAGCATGCAGTGCTGTCCTCTGTTTGATGAAGTCATCTTGCACATTCCAGCTGGAAAGTCACTGCTGGGGGAGTACCCTGACCTCCTGGTTGAAGCAGTTGCTTCTTCTGCCCTGGGTAGCCTCTCTCCCACACCCCTGTCGTAGTGCGTATCACAGCCTGTTGTCAGTGCCACCTGCCAGTTCTCCTCACTTGATGGGCTGCCCATGTCTTGTTCATCTTCACTTCCTCAGCATTCAGCACCATACATGTCTTGCAAGAAGTTGGTATTCTGATGGAGGAGTTCGCAGCTTAGCCCTATTTAACTTTTGGGTAAATAACTCTTGGCGGGCGGGGGCTGCCCTGTGTATTGCAGGGTATGTAGCAGCATCCCTGGCCTCTACCCACTAGATGCCAGTAGCATGCCACCATCTCCCCTCCCCCCAGTTGTGACAACCAGAATGTCTCCACACATTGCCAAATGTCCTAGGAGGGGAGTAAATCACTCTTGATTGAGAACCACCGCTGTAATGTGTTTAATGAATTAAGTATAAAAATGTTTTAGAAAGTGCTATAAACTGTAAAGTTTTATTATTTTTATGGTGTTCTTGGCAGCCCTAAAATGTTTTGAACTAGAAACAGTGAATACAGTAATTTGGTGGTCGATGCCCAGTGCATTTTCAATCAAATGGGGCTCAGTTCTGTTACTTAAATTTGGGGGAGATTTGATTTAGGCTTCTGGTATGCTGTGTGATTATGGAAAATCTTACTGGGATAGTCCTCAGTGAGCATGGACATGTCATATGGGCCCCAGCATTAATCCTACAGCTATTACCCTTAAGCATTCTAGATTATTCACTTCAGTTGCATAGCTGGATTGCATTTCAGTGTGGGGATAAGCCCACGTATTTTGTTTGTGGTTGTTATAGAACAGGTACATGCATTTTTTTTAAGGTTCAACCTACATAATGTGAAAAAGAATGCATTTTTGGTCTGAGAAGGTGAAACAGTACTTCAACACTGTATTCCACCAACATTACTGGAGTCCCAGTTAGGAGTCAGGCACTTTGCCATGGGCTGGGGAAGCCAAGGGGAAGATGAGAGAGGAGGACAGCTTTCAACCCAGGAAGAAGAGTACTACTTACTTCAAAGGGGAAAGTAGCTTATTGGGCTATGTAAGATAAGACTCCGTTCAGGAGTGAAAAAACTGTTTTGAAATAATTCTTCCTTATTATCTCCAAACGAAACCGTACTAGGTATTTCCTCACTCAAGTGTGGCGATTGCATAAAGGGAGATGATTCAATGGCCTGTATATATTTTCTCCAACATCCCAGTATTCTACAGTTCAAAAGAGCAGCCTAATTTAAAGGCAGAAGAAAAGAAAAGTGGAAAAGTCCATAAAAGGGCAACAATTGCAGGCTGAGGCATATATATTTAAAGGGAGAGAAGTCATGATTTTGCTATTCTCTGTCTGGCCAGGTACTTGGAAAGTATAGGTTGTATTTGTGTGTCTATGTATTTAGTTTTGATTTCACCTTTCCGAATGTGTTTCAGTGCTGATGGCCTCTTCCCTTTCCTCTGATGTCCCCCTCACATTTCATGTGAGCTTGTTTTTGTTTGAGTCACCACTTCCAACCTCTCCGTCCAGCCATATAGTCTGTGCCAAGCACCCTAAGATACCGTACCTTAGGCATGGGTCTCCTATTAAATAGTCATTTCTAACTAAATGTTCCAATTTAGAAACATTGTGAACATGTCTTTCTGTGGCTTACTTATTTTTACTCAAGGAAGAGTTAAAGACAAAATCCCAGGTCCTCTGGGTTTTGATCCCTTAAAATAAGTAGAGCTAACAGTACCTTCCTTGTCCACCTCATTGGGTATTATGATGATCAAATGGAAAGACTAAAGAGACAGTCTTGTTAACTTAAACTTGCAGTGAACGAACAACTAATTTGCAAAGGCATGCACCTTCCAGTGTTCCCCTGCAACCCCAGTAACAGAACATGTTTTCTGTGACTCTAGATAGGTTTTTTTAAAATTTATTTTTGTGGTAAAAATACATAACATGAAGTTTATCATTCTAACCATGTTTAAGTTTATAATTCGGTGGCATTAACTACATTCACAGTGTTGTGCAACCATCACCACTATCTATTTCCAAAAACTCTTCATCACCCCAAACAGAAAGTCTACAGCCATTACATAAAAACTCCCCATTCCCCTCTCCCCACCCCCAACCTCAGGTAACCTCTCTTCTATTCTCTGTATGAATTTACTTGTTCTAACTGCCTCAAAAGTAGAATCATAGAATATTTGTCTTT